TTTGTTTTTTGAAACAGAGTTTCTCTACTTAGCTTTGGAGGCTGTCCTGGAACTCACTCTGTAGACAATGCTGGCCTCAAACTCACAGAGATCCATCTGCCTTGTTGCCACGGTTTTCCCAGTGCTATGATTACAGAAGCATACCACCACACCTAGCTTGAACTGAGCACTAACAGTCATGTTCTTCACCCGTAAACCTGACTTCCATTATTGGAATGTTTGAGGAGATAGATAACCAGGAAACTTCTAGGTAAACTTGGAATCAGCTAAGACCTTAGATAGTTTGAGTATAGACTTTCCAGGTAAGACAAAGCCTTGTCAATTGTCTTTAACCCATATAAGACAGTCCATGTCATGAATGCCTTCATTCTAAGCTCTAGATCAGTGTTTCTCAACCTCTGAGTCCATTCCCTTCAGAGGATACCCTGTATATCAGATACTTACATTGTGAGCCTAGCCTTTAATGGCTGAGCCTTCTCTCCAACTCTGGATATTTACAAGATGATTCAGCCAGTAGATATGAGCTTACCTTCCAACAATACAAGCCTGACAGTCTGAGTTCAATTCTCAAGGAACCATGTGGTGGAAGGAGAGAACCAATCCAACAAAATATTGTCCAGACCTCCAAACCCACCCCAAGGCATACCCCTTACTGCAAATAAATATTTGTAATAAAAAATATATTTCAATTCCTATGGAGCAAAAGTTGGTGTTGAACTCATGATCTTCTTGCCCCAACCTTCCAAGTGCTGGGATTGCTAGCACCCACCATCACACCTGAGCTACATTCCATTTTGGGGGGAGGGTATTTTTTATTTTTATTTTTTTACACATATTTATTATTTCTTCTTATTTTACGTATCGATCCCAGTACCCTCTCCCTCCCATGCCCCTCGATCTCTCCTATCCCAAGCCCCACATACTCCACAGGGAAGGTGATGCCTTCCAGGAGGGATCATCAAAAGCTGTCAAGTCATTTGGAATAGGGACTAGGCCCTCCCTCCTGCCTCTAGGCTAAGGGAGTATCCCTCTTTGGGGAATGTGTTCCCAAAGTCCTTTCATGCACCAGGGATACATCCTGGTTCTGTCAGAGGTTCCTTAGACTGTCCAGGCCTTCTAACTGAGACTCACATTCAGGGGGTCTGAGCCGGTCCAATGCTGGATTCTCAGCTATCAGTCTGGGGGGTCCATTAGCTTCTCCTTGTTCAGGTCAGCTGTTTTTGTGGATTTCTGTAGCCTGGGCTACATTCCACTTCTAATATGAATGGTTGGCAGAATTTGGTGACGCATGCCTAAAATCCCAGCACCTGATAGACTGAGGTAGGAGGACTATAAGCTTAAAGCCATCCTGGGCTATATAGAGAATTTCAAATCAACCTGGGCTACTTCTGTATCAAAAAGACACACAGATACCCAGGGGTGGGGGGGAGAAATAAGGGACAGGAAAAGACAGAAAGTAATACTTTCAAAAAAAAAAAAAAAAGAAACAATGATCCAAATTTACCAATTCCTGAAGGCATTTAGATCAGGTAGTTGATTTACGTTAAGAATAGTTTCCACAGCCAGATGTGAAGGTGCATACCAATGCTTGGGAGGACCAGACAAGACAGAAGGAACACTACTTCAAGGCCAGCCTAATCCTCCCGACCCCGACCCCCACTCCCATACCTGTCTCAAAATATAAAACAAAGAATAAGGCTCCTCCCCTTATCTCCTCTCTCTAGTTTCTTTTGTGTCTTTTCTATGTGGATAACTTTAGCCATTCTTATGTGGAAACCCCCCCAAAAAAACATAAAAATGATGTGAAGTGCACCACAGAATCATATCTATTATAAATATCTATGTTTCAAAGCACAGCAAAACACATGACTCAAGACAAAAATCAAGTGCATCAGAAGGAACCACTAGAAATCAGGAACCAAAAAAATTACTCTTCAGTTTTACAGAAGTGCATATTTTAAGTTAACTATCTGGGGGGGTTCCAACACCCAGCCTTCAAGCTTCTGTCAGCTTTGGAATTTCCACAGTTCTACCCTAAGTGATGTGGGAGTAATCCTGGGGAGACAGTTGTGTGACTGCAACAGTGCAGATGTGGAAGGTAAAAAAGCCACTCAAGCACCAGCAGCTCTCTGCCATTTTTCTAGAAAGGATGACAATCCAGCATTATGCTATATACCAAGCTTAAGTAAAGATGAATGACAAGGTTTCCCCTCACTTGAAACATTCCCTCCAACCATCCTCATCTAAGATGCACCACGTGAGATGTGTTCTGGAGTTTGTGTAGTACCCTAAAAAGAGCAATCGGTACATGAATACAGAGACCATCAATACTAAAAACAATAATTCCAAAAAATATTAAAGAATAGTGTTTCTGGGGCCAGCAAAGAGGGCTCAGTGGGTAAAGGTTCTGGCTTACATACTCAATAGCCTGGGTTCCATCCCAGGAATTCATAAGCTGTTCCCAGACTGTGATGTGTATACAACTACTGTGGTGGTCTGAATGAGAATGGCCTGCATGGACTCATCTATTTGAATACTGGGTCCCCAGATGGTGGAACGGTTTGGGACAGAAGGATTAGAAGGTATGTCCTGGTTGGAGGAGTGGTCACTAGGGACAGGCTCTGAGGAGTCAAATGCCCCTGCTATTCCCAGTTAGTTCTCTCATTCTGGTGGTTGGGGCTCAAGGTATGAACTCTCTCAGTCACTGTGTCAAATGTTATCTCTGCCTATCTTGCTCCCTGTCATGCTCCCTGCCATGATGGCTATGGACTTTAGCCCTCTGTGAAACTGTAAGCCCAAATAAATGCTATCTTCTAGAAGCTGCCTTGGTCAAATGGTCTTTTGTCACAGCAATAGTAAAAATGAACTAAGGCAGAAACTGGTATTATTTAGACCAGGATGGTGGATATTAAACTTACAAGGTGTCCTCTGACCACCATATGTGTGCACCCCCCCACACACACACAAATAGTAAGTAAAATGTAAAGCAAACAACAAAAATCCAACAACATCATGCCTCTGCCTCTTAAGTGTTGGCATTAAAGGCATGAGCCACCACACCCAGCTGACACAATGCTTTCACATTCTGACTACTGCTTACTTAACTCACACTTTAGTTCCTTCATTACATGAGAACAACCATGCTTCAATCGGTTACATGGTTAACACATGCAAAACATTTATTAACAGTACATATTCCTAGGAAAGCAGCTCAGACAGAAGTGTACTTAGCATGCATAAGAGGCCCTGAGTTTAATCCCCAAGCACCAAATACCGAAATAAAACAATGCCTAGAACAGAATGTTCAATATAGTTTATATGTATATATCTTTATTTTATTATTATTTTTGAGGTTTCATGACATTGGTGAGGTCTGCCTGAAACTTGAAATTCTCTTGCTTTAACCTTCCAAGTACTGGAGCTTATAGACATAAGCAAGGGCACCCAGATATTACAGCCACACTATAATTATTAAATATGTTATTACAGGACACTGTCCTCAGAACATAAACAATCATTACCATCTTAATCAGTGAAACTGTGATTACTCACAAAAGACTCTCAGAATTGGGCCTGTTGACCTTCCCAGACAGAATGAGAGGACATGGCCTTAGAATCTTACCTGATAGTCCAGCCACCCACTCCCAATTCTGACCCAACCTCACTTGGTCTTGAGGGTTGCTACAGTGTAGAGAGTAAAAAGCTAGGGAAACACTGACCAAAAACAAATAAAAACCCAAAACAAAACAAAAAGTCCTACCAAGAATGATAAATATTTAAGGTACAGGGTAAGTTATTTGGTCATTAAATTTACTTTAACATGACTTGTCCCAAGAGAACGCATGGCAAGAAGTGTTTCTCCTGTTTGTATTTATCTATTTCAATGTGTTCTTTCTCATTACCTGTCACCAAGAGAACAAATAACAAGTGAACAATGGATACCTTGGGCATCAACTTTTGGTGGCAGAAATATTAACATTTCTTACTTTGCTATAAAAACAGCTTAAATTTGGTTTTTAAAGTACGTAAACTAGCTGGGCATGGTGGTGCATGTCTTTAAACTCAGCATTTGGGAAGCAGAGGCAGGCTGGTCTCTCTGAGTTCCAGGCCAGCTTGGGCTACACAGTGAGATCATGTTTGTTTGTTTGTTTGGGTTTTTTTTAAAAGTGGTTTAGCAAATGATGCCTCACAGTTTTAAGCATAGGATTTTCCAAGAGAAAAAGAACAAGAGAAGGATTCCTTTTACCTGGCTATGACTGAAATATTAGCATTTTACCTGGGACTCTCAGAAGGCAGCAGAACAGCTGAAGTTCTTCCAATGCTTAAAATACTCCGTAGTAAGAAACTACACTATTTTCATACAGCTGAGAACATGATGTCCACCCAGATGACAAACAGCAAAAGGGAAAGATCTCTTTTCCCAACTCTGATGTCTTTCGCTTCCTCTACCACCAGTCTGCTGTGCAGTGACTAATGATTAAGGACGAAGGAAAGAAATATAACAGTACTTTAATGCATTCCTCGTGTACAAACTACTTCGGGGGGGGGGGGGAGTAAATCGCCCTTTGACTGGCCATACACTTGGTGCGCGCCTGAGGGAAAGCCACAGGTAAGAAGGGACTTTCCTAGACAGTGAAGTCTGCAATGCCACGAGCCTCGGGGTCATCTTCTAACAATTATCTCAGAACTATATGGTCACTAGGGTCACCGGGCAGCCTGTTAATACTAAGGAGCAACACCGTGGGGCTGGAAGTGAGAGAAGTAGAGACGAACCACAAGTCCAGGGCACCACCATCGCGCCTCCCTTCCTGTGCTGGGCTCGCGCCGGTCGCCAACGCCTGGCCAGTTCTCGGCCCAATCTACCGAGAACTGGCCGGAGTTCCTTCTCCACTCAAGTCTGACCCCACCAAAATTAAAGTATCACCATACCCTTTCTACTCAGGATCTCATCCTACCCTTTCCGCTGACCAGCTCTCCCTGCCGCTTCTCCGAAGACTCACCAGGTTGCTCTCGCCACTCCTCTCCAGCCGGGGCAGATCAGACACTTCTAGATAGGACCCGATGCGAGCTCACGCGCATGCGCCTCCCCCCTCTGTGCGCCTGCGCACTTGCCGGCCGCCGCGGGGGCAGACACGCCTCTACAGCTGGAGCCAATCACCGCGGGGTGGGGGGGGGTAAGTCTCCTGCCACGCAGGCGGAGAGACTGGGAACTCACCCGTTACCCCGACGGATTCCCCTCCCGCCCAAAGGTGGAAGGAGTTCAGGCACCCAACAGTTCAGGCAGCTGTGTGCGGGACACCTTAGCGTCTGAACGCCGAGGCGAACTAACTGCCGAAGCCTGCTGGGTGTTTGGATCCTTCTAAATCGGGGATACAGACTCGTAAACACATTACAGTGAACAGAATACGGTACACAGGAATTCCAAGGTGCCTTTGGCCCACAATGAACACAACTTATTTTGAGGGGTGCCTGTATGGGTGTCTCAGGAAGTTACTTTTAGAGTCAAGAAAGATAAGTAGGAGTTCCTCCGGAAGTCCAGGAGATAAGAATTTTCCAAGCTGTGGGGAACAACGGATGCCAAGAACAACGCTGCTGCGCCTTCTGGATGTTTCTTGAGGTTCATTCTTTTTAGAAGTTTTAATAAGAGTTCGCTTTCTCAGTCAAGAGAAAACTGAAGGTGTGATAACGCACACTGTAGTTCCCAGGCTATTTTGGAGGCTGAGGTTGGAGGGACACCTGACCTCTGGAGTGTAAAGCCAGACTGACGACATACTGACATCCTATTTCAACACCAACCCCAGAAGAGGAAGAAAGTAGGGGCTCTCTGGGTAGGGGAGAAAGGCAGAGCACTTGCCTAGCACAGGTGAGGCTTAACCCTGAGTCCATCGCCAACAGAGCAGAGCTCAAAATCAAACTAGGGAGAGGGCCAGAGGTCTTGTAAACTTTGGAATAATGAGCCTAGAGTTCTGAAAGGTTTTAAACCACTTACCCCACGAATTCTTCCAACCAACTCTTAGGGAATAAAAAAAAGTTTGGGGGTGTGGCTGTAGAATGTGATAAACAAAACTGACCAGAGAAGAGGACTGGTAAGCACTTTTGAATTTAATAACACAGGGGAATGGTGATGATTGACAAACACAGTAATAGTTTGGAGAGGAGAGAGAAATCAGGAAAGAATATAAAATGCTTTTGAAAACTTAGACCTTGTCAGAGAAAAGGGAGGAATGGTGTGTTTTGTTTTTTTATTGTGTTAGAATTAAGACAGGAAAACTTGAGCATGAGAGAAAAGACTCACCTCAGAAAACCTATTTAATTTGCAAAAGGGTGTGTGTGACAGCCTAGAAAAAGATTTTGAGAGTAGAGCTTAAGTACTCAAATCACTGATGGGAGTTGGTGATGCACAACTTTGATTTCAGAAGGCAGAAGCAATGGGATCTTTGTGAGTTTGAGGCCAGCCTGATCTACATAGTTCCAGGTCAGCCAGAGCTATGTAGCAATACCTTGTCTCAAAAAATAAATAAATAGGGGCTGGAGAGATGTCTCAGAGGTAAAGAGCACTGTCTGCTCTTCCAGAGGTCCTGAGTTCAATTCCCTGCAACCACATGGTGGCTCACAACCATCTGTAATGAGATCTGGTGCTCTCTTCTGGCTTGCAGAGATACATGTATGCAAAATAAATAAATAAATCTTTAAATAAATAAATAAATAAAATCAGGGGATGGAGAGACAGCTATTCTTCCAAAGGATATAAATTCAGTTTCCAATATCCACCTAGCAGTTCACAACTGTAATTCCAGTCCCAGGAGATCCACACCCTCCTCTGGCCTCCACAAACACCAGGCACAAGGATGGTGGAGTGCCAGTATTCATGCAGGCTAAATACCCATACATGTAAAATATAAATAAGTTCTTTTTAAAAATCAAACTGATATAAGATCTAGGATAGTGGCATAAGTCTATAATCTCAGCATCATAAGACTAGTGAATTAGAGCACATAATCATCACAAATACAGTAATTTTGAAGATAGCATTAGCTACCCAAGACCCTGTCTCAAACAAACAATAAAGCCCATAGGACTGAGGCTGGCAAGGTGGTTCATCAAATGAAGGCGATGGCCATCAAGTGTGAGTACCCAACTTCTGTCCCAGGAGCCCACATAGTTGCAGGTCCTCTGATTTCGTCTTATATGTGTACCAAATGGCAAGAATGTTACTCCACCTACACAAAAATAAATAACCCTAGACACTGACATGAAAAGAATATTCATGGAAGAGAGACCAACCCAACAGAGTTGGGGGAGAGAGGAATAGTCTCAATTATAATGACAAAATATATCTGTAAGCCTGTATGTTTAGAAATAGGAAGTTACGCTTTCTGAGAAGTCAGAGATAGATCCTCTGCTGATTAGAAAGGTGGCTGCAAGTGTAAGGGAATTGAGAAGCTTGGAGGTGTGACTGTAGAATGTGATAAACAAAACTGACCGGAGAAGAGGACTGGTAAGCTCTATAAACTGCTTGTTTACTGCCTGTAGAAATGAACTCAGCAGTTTGCTTTGTTAATCTTTTTCGGATCACTTTCTTAAAGGCAGGGAAGAAAATATATGGCTGAATTCATTTAGGGTTGGGATGTTCCTGGATATACTACTGTAGTTCTCAGCTAAGGGCAATTTTTTGCCCTCCAGAGAACATTGGGCAGGGTCTAGAGAGTTGGGGGAGCATTATCTTAGAATGCACTACTCAGCAACTGATAACATTATCTGTTAATGTTTTAGGATTGTGAAATCCTGATCTAGAGTTATTTTGGTCCTCACCCATATTAGCTTTCCTTTGGACTATGGTTCTGAATTTACAGAGCAAAGCAGTTCTGTTGCATGCATGCCTTTAAATAGAATGAGCAGCACAGCAGACCTTGAATGCTTCAAGGACTTGTGATGTCACAAATACACAATTGGAAGACTCTCTTAAACCTTTAGAATGAAACTGGATTCACACATAAATGAAGGTAGCTGTTTATTACGATTTGAGGCTTTGATAGTTTCTTCCTCCCTCTCCTCTTTCTTTCTTTCTTTTTGAGGGGTGTGGCTTTTCCAGATAGGATTTCTCTGTGTAGCCTTGGCTATCCTGGAATTCACTCTTGAGATTGGGCTGGCCTTAATCTCACAGATATCTGCCTGCCTCTGCTTGGACTAAAGGTGTGCACTACCATGTCTGGCTCTGACAGTTTTCTTAAATGGAAATGGTTTCAATTATATAGAAGTTGCACTGCTCATTATCAACTGCAATGTAACTTTATTATAATCACTATAACAGGATCCCAAAAGAGTAGGGATGCTCAAATTTTAATAATAAATTAAACATTGTGATAATATATTATTTATGATTTATTCAAGCTTGTCTGAGGATTCAGAAAGCAAAGTCAGCCTCAAGCTATAGAGATCAGACAGTGGTGGTATACACCTTTAATTCCAGGACTCAGGAGACAAAGGCTGATGGATCTCTGTGAGTTCAAGGCCCCCCAGGACTACACAAGATTGAATCAGTCTAAAAGAATAACAGCTCACACTTTTAATCCCAGCACTAGAGAGGTATAAACGATAGGAGCAGGGTCTAAAGTAGTTAGTCTCAGGACTAATCTCTAGCCACGTTGAGGACAGCATAGCTGTCTAAGTGAATCTGAGGAGCAGTGAAGTTAGGAGCAGTTTGCAGATAGCCCCTTTGGTCTGAGCTGAGAAGCTAGTGGCCAGCTGATATGCTTTTCTGATCCTCAGTTTGAAGCTTGAACCCCAATATCAGTCTCTGGGTCATTTATTTATCATGCTACAAAACATCCTTATTTTAACCCTAAAAATCTGACATTTCAAGAAAACATCACTTAAAGTAAAAAATTATTGCCCGGCAGCAATGGCGAACACCTTTAATCCTGGCAAATCTCAGCACAGACTTCTGAGTTTCAGACCAGGTTGGTATACAGTGCAAATTCCAGGGCAGCCAGGAATTTTGTTTCAAAAAACAAACGAAAATTATAAATAATAGCTAGGGTAAAATTTAAATTTATTTCTGTTTTTAATGAGACAGAGTTTCATTTTGTAGCCCAGAAACTATGTAGCCCTGGCTAGCTTTGAACTCACATTGATCCTCCTCTCTCAACCTCCAGAATATGTGATGAGCTACCATGTCTAATTTAGGGTCTAGGCCTATCTGTTCAAATGTTTCACGAAGAAGAAAAAGTTTTGAAATTTAGTTAAGGCAGTGTCAAAGCTTCTGGTGAAGGGCTTAGAAAGTAGAAGGGAAAAAGAAAACAAAACAGAAAGAAATAGAATGGGAGGTGAAGTGGACAGCTTTGCGCAAAGGGACCTACTTGGGTGTTTTCCTGTGTTTTGAAGAAGGCCTCTTGCCCGGTGTCCGTTGTTCACTTCTCATGTTCAAATAAAGCTAGATGGTTGAAAGGGGCGGATGGGGTGGGGGGGGAGAGGGAGCGCGCCGGACTACGTGCGTGCGCTTGCGCGCTGGCGGCGGCGGCGGCGTCAGTGCCCGGCGGGGAGCGGGTCCCAGGCCGCCGCCGGACCGGAGGCTAAGGGGGCGTCTGGGAGCTCCCTCGCCGGGCCCTCGGCGGCCTGATGGCGTAGGAAGGACGGGCAGTGAGTGTAAGTATGGAGGGCCCGGCCTGGTTGGGCGTATCGGAGGCCGAGGGTCGGATGGTCTGCCCCTTGGGCAGGTGGTGGTAGCTGTGCCTGCACGCAAGCAACGCTACGGTGCCTCTTCTGGCCCGCGTGGGTTTAGAGTTTATGGGCGAGCGGTGCACCTGGCTTCAGGGTACAAACTCTCTCAGGGGCGGTCGGTTCTGCGCGCAGCCCCTCAGCCTGGACGCGTGGCTTCAGGTCTTTGACCTCTGGGGCAGGCCCTGACCTCTGTGGGCCTGGGGTCTACTAAGGCTGGAATCTCAGCCTTAGTCTGCTATTTAAAGGTTGCGGGTTTCAGGCCTGGACCCACTCCACCTCTCAAGACTGATAGTCTCGCCTCTTTTTTTTTTTTTTTTTTTTTTTTTTGTTTGTTTTTTGTTTTTTCCCTGCTTTTGAGGTCTCTGCTTTTGGGAAGCGTATTATTAATGTATGAGCATGTGTCTATCTAATATTTATTACAATCTCGGTGCTTAATTGTGGAGAAGAGATGTTGCATCTCCTCCCACTTCAATCTGTTCAGTGAAGTCATCTTTGAGAGTAAAATAAGCCATCTTGTTGGAGAAGTTCGAGGTTTCAGTGTTGTTTTCTTTTTTTGTTTGTTTGTTTTGTTTTTGTTTTTTAACAACTTGGAACCAGTTACGGAAGAAGTTCTCCTCTTAGCAGATTAGAGTTATAACCATCATAATGGTTTCTATTGAGATGATTCAAGACACAGGTACCTTTTAATATTAAACATAAGATCCAAATCCTGTCCTAAAGCGCTATGGGGGAATCTCCCCTTTCCCCCTCCCCCGATAGGGTTTCTCTGTAGCTTTGGGGGCTGTCTTGGAACTCACTCAGTAGATCAGGCTGGCCTCGAACTCATAAAGATTAGATCTTTGTCTCTGCCTCCTGAGTGCTGGGATTAAAGGCATGTGCACCACCACCTGGCTTCCAAAGGAGAATCTTAAAATGTAGTCCTCTCTTCTGGAGTTTGGCCAAGAATGAAAGAATGGGTAATCAGCTTCAACTAGGGTTTACTTAGCACCCATTATGCTAGAACTCTACATACAGGTGTGCCATAGACATTTAATACAATATTATAATAGATGATTTTTATTTATTTTTTTTTTTTGGCAGCACTTTTCAGTTTATTGAGATGCTTATGGTGATTTGCTTAAGTTAACATTCCTGGACTACTAAACTTCCTCTCAGATGATAACAAAGTTCATCTTTTTCTGTTACACCAAGTTAGATGTTCTAAGTACTCCTATTTGGAAAACAAACTGAAGTTAACTATGGGGCCTAGAAAACAGATTTTGTTTTGATTTTTATTTTTGAGAAACAGAATCTGGCCTTTATAGTCCAGACTGGCCTTGAATTTGAGATGCTGAGTTCAGTCACAGAGTACTGGGATTACAGGTATACACCCATCTTGGCTTTTAACTAGAGAAAGTGTCCAGATAGATTTTGAAGAGAGCTTCAAAACAGCCATGGAAGAGGAAAGGTGTGAAGCAATTTTATCGTGCTAGTTCAGACCAAATTGCTTTGATAGGAAGGTATTTTAAAAAGAAAAACCATGGTAGTTATTATATATCCAGATTAGAACAAAGTCTATGAGAAAAGCAAGGATCATTGAGTGCTTCTGTGACCCAGGAAGACTCGATGAGAACTATACAGACTGTGTTTTGTAATTAGGGTACTAAAGGGGAAGTTTAGTATTTGTGTGCCCAATGAGTGAGAGTCCTAAACAGACAAGTTACATATGATTACACTAACTATACATCCAGGATGCACAGTTGCCTACTAAAAGCTTGTAATCAAGAGACTTGAAAAATACGAGTTTCCATGTGTATATCAGAGGACTTGTTAAGTTTGTGCATTTGTTAGAATGAGCTAACACTTTGTACTGATATTGAATGATTTCCAAGATAATTCTTTTTATAGTGAGAAAGTAATGGTGTCAAGAAGGTGTGCAATAGTGACAATTTTCAGTGTATGTACATGTATATATCTATACACATATGCTTTGCATTTAAGGACATAGAGTGTGGAAAGTAGTCAGAATCAACTGAAACTGTAGAATGTCGGGATGAAAGGTAGAAGTGAGAATTTATTGTTCAGTGGTTCCAGAGTTTCAGTTTCACAATCTGTGATTATTTTTTGTAAGCTAAACAAGCAGTCTCCTATGAGCTACATCCTTCAACCCTTAAGTTTTTTTCACGTATTTATTACAAGAAGTTGTGAACAACTAGAAAGAATATAAACTCAGGTTTTTTTTGTTTTTGTTTTTTTTTTTTTTTAATTTTTAAAATTTTGTGTTCTGTGTATGGGTGTTTAGCCTGTATGTATGCCTGTATACCACATTTGTGCACGGTGCCTACGGTGCCTGCAGAGGCCAGAAGAGGGCATCAGATTCCCTGGAACTGGATTTACAGATGGTTATGAGCCACCAAATGGGTGCTGGGAATCAAAACCCAGGTCTTTTGGAAGAGCAGCTGGTGCTCTGAACTGCTAAGCCCCCCTTTCATTTTGTGTTTTGCCTGTATATGTGTGTTGTGTGTCTGCATGTGTGTATGTATATCTGTATACATCATGTACCCTGAACCTACAGAGACCAGAAGAGGATTTCAGATCCCTGGAACTAGGATTACAGAGGACTGTGAGCTACCATGTGGGGGCTGGAAACAAATCCTAGGTCCTTTTCTAGACCAATATTGCTCTTAACCTCTCCTGCCCTGTCACTTCATTTTAATGTTACTAAAATTTGCTATACTAGTGTTGGGAACTGAATGTAGCATGGATAAGCAAGTATACTACCAGTGAACTGTATTCCCAGTTCTGTATTTTTATCCCTATCTACATTACTCAGTACTCAGTTTTGTTATTGTTTTGTGTATGGGTTCTTTTTGTTTTATTTTTCCTTTGAGGTAGGATTTCATGAAGCTGAGGCTGTGTAATGAAGAAGTCTTGATTCTCCAATCTCCACCACCCCCCCCCAACAACCCCAGACAGGGTTTCTCTCTGTAGCTTTGTAGACAAGGCTGGCCTTGAACTCACAGTGGTCCGCCTGCCTCTGCTTCCCGAGTGCTGGGATAAAAGGCATGTGCTCCACCGTTTTTTATTCTCCAGTCTTTATGTACTTCCCAAGTGCTGAAATTACAAATGAGCACCACCATACCTGGCTTATCCATTTTTTGTTTTAAAAAACATTTGTGGCCAGGAGATGGTGGCACACACCTTTATCCAGTCAGGTGGCAGAAGCAGGCGGATCTCTGTGAGTTCCAGGACAGACTTCAAAACTACAGAGAAACCCTGTCTCAAAAAAACAAACAAAATCAAAACATTTGTGTTGCTGGGCAGTTATGGTAACACACCTTTAATCCCATTACTCAGAGGGCAGAGACAGGCAGATCTCAGTTTGTGGGCAGTCTGGTCTACAGAGAAAGTTCCCAGGACAGCCTAGGCTACACAGAGAAACCTTGACTATCTCAGTTTCTTTCCTCCCTCCCTTCCTTTCCCTCCCTCTCTCCTTTTGAGACTTGGGTGGGTCTCTCTGCCTTGCCCAGGCTGGTCTTGACTTTGTTTTCATTCTTTGCCTCATGAGTAACAAAGGACTGTAATAGCTTGCCACCAGCAAACAGTATTTGACTCAGTCTCTAGAGGTCACATGTAGCCTTTGGCTAGTAATGTATCTTGAGGTCTCTGCAGAGTTTGGCTAGTATGTATCTTGAGGTGTCTTTTAACATAGAACAGTTGCATTTTTTGCTTTTTCACCCTTGATGTGTTGAAGAGACCTGTATAGTTGTGTAAACTAACAACAGTTCAAGCTTTCGATACATGTTACTAAGCTTGTTACAACAAACTGGATGTTGCAGTACAGTGCTCATTGGATTCAGGTGAAACACTTTGGTGATGATATCTGCCATGCTACCTGCTGTAGTTTTCCCACTGTTGGTGATACTGAAATTGACTAGGGTTTAATGGTGACATTAGCCTCCATGGTTACCATTGTTGTCTGTTTGTTTTTTAGTAGCGTTAGTCTTTGTAGCCATAGCTGGCTTGAACTCAATAGATAGACCAATCTGGCCTTGAACTTGCAGCCGTTCTGTCTTTGAAGGGCCTCATTGTTAAATTGCCTGTTTCCCTTTGAAATTGTCAGCACTTCTGTGCATATAAAACTGTTAAACCCCTAGATTTCATATTCAAGATATAATTGATTATCTTCAAAAATGCAAAGCTCATAACAAATTATTATTTTTAATCTTTTCACACTTCCAGGACTGTGTTTGTGTGCATCCTGGGCTCCATGTGTGGAAGACAGGACTACTTGGTTCTCTTCTAGGCCCATTTGGTTTTGGCTACCAAACTCAGATTGTGGCAAGTACTTCTACCCACTGAGCCATCTACTCACCAGACCAATATATTATTTTCTAACTGAGCCTATGATAACTTTTTATTTAAAATGTTTTTTCCTGTAATGTATTATGAACATATTCTTTCCCTTTCTTCACTCCTCCCAGATTCTCCCAACCTTCCTACCCACCCAACTTCATGTTATTTTTCTCTAATAAATAAATAAAGCCGGGCCTGGAGAGATGGCTCAGCAGTTAAGAGCACTGACTGCTCTTCCAAGAGGACCTGGGTTCAATTCACAGCACCCTCATGGCAGCCCACAACTGTCTGTAACTCAGTTCCAGGGACCCAACACCCTCACATAGACATACATGCAGGCAAAACACTAATGAACATAAAGATAAGTTTTAAAATAAATAAAGTCAAAACAAACAAGCAAAAAAGAAAGCCCAGTAAGACAAAATACTCAACACGAATGGAGTCTGTTTTGTATTGGCCAACTATGCCTAGGTGTGGGGCTTGTTCTGAACTGTGCTTGCTGTACATAGTGATGTGAGGATTTTTTTTATAATCCTGAACTCCAGACCCATTCCACGATTTTATTTATTTATTTGCTTGTTTGTTTATTT